GGGACAGGAGGAGAGAGGGTTGGATGAAGGGAGGGAGGGTCGGAGGGATGGAGGGAAGGACGGAGAGACTGAGAGAGGGACGGAGAGGTGGAAGGACAGAGGGAGGGAGGGAGGGAAGAACGGAGGGATGGGGGAAGAACGAAGGGAGGGAGGGAAGGAGAGAGGGTGGGAAGGCAGGGAGGAAGGAGGGAGGAAAGGAGAGACGGAAGAGGGGAAGGATGGGTGGGAGGAGAGGGTTGGAAAGAGGGAAGGCGGGAGAGGTGGAGGGAGGGAGAGAAGGAGAGAGGGGTGGAAGGAGAGAGGGAGAGAAGGACAGAAGGATGGTGAGATGGGCAGTCAGAGGGATGGAAGGACAGAGGGACGGAGGGATGGAAGGACGGGGAGAGGGGCGGTTTGGAAGCACAGAGGGACCGACGGATCCTCCCTCCCCCAGAGCGCCTGTTCCGCTGCCGTTTCACCACCTCCCGCGCCTCGCGCCGGCCCAGCGCCGGCAGGAAGCTGGTCCTGCTCCGGGGCCGCTTCCAGGCTCCCCCCGGACCCCCCGGAGCCTCCCCGGGGCTCTTCGTCGCCTTCTGTGCCCCCCTGGACCCCCCGCCCTGGCCCTGCCCCGACTGCCTCCTCCTGCCCGCCTTCCAGAGCCGCCACGCCCGGGACCTCGCCCTGCTCGACATCTCCGACAGGTGAGGGGGGACACGGGGGGATCCGGGTGACTGAGGGGATCCAGGGGGATCCAGGAGTCTGAGGGGATCCAGGGGGATCCAGGAGTCTCAGGGGATCCAGAGGGGTTCAGGTGACTGACGGGATCCAGGGGGATCCCGAGGGATACAAGGAGTCTGAGAGGCTCCAGGGGGATCTGGATGATTGAGGGGATCCAGGGGGATCCAGGAGTCTCAGGGGATCCAAGGAGATCCAGGTCACTGATGGGATCCAGGGGGATCCAGGAGTGTGAGGGGATCCAGGGGGGTTCAGGTGACTGACGGGATCCAGGGGGATCCCGAGGGATCCAAGGAGTCTGAGAGGCTCCAGGGGGATCTGGCTGACTGAGGGGATCCAGGGGGATCCAGGTGACTGACAGGATCTGGGGGGATCCAGGAGTCTGAGGGGATCCAGGGGGATCCAGGTGACTGAGGGGATCCAGGGGGATCCAGGAGTCTGGGGGGATCCAGATGTCCTTGAAGGACACGGGTGGATATCCAGGGGGATTCAGGTCTCCAGGAAGAACCAGGTGACCAAGGGGACCCAGATTTCCGGGGAGATCCAGGAGGACCCAGATTTCCAGGGGGATCCAGGAGGACCCAGATTTCCAGGGGTACCCGGGTCTCCAGGGGGAGATCCGGGTATCTGAGAGGATCCAGGGATCCAGAAGTACCCAGGTGTCCGGGGGGGGATCCGGGTGACCCCAGGTGACCCCGGTTTGGTGACCCCTGAGGGACCCATCCGTGTTTTCCCGCAGCGTCCTGATCCACCTGGGATACGGGCGGGGGGAGCTCCTGGGCCGCTCCTGGTACCGCCTCCTGCACCCCGAGGACCTCGGCCACGTCGCCCGCCAGCACCTGCGCCTCGGTGGGTGTCCCCTCGCTGTCCCCAGGGTCCCCTGCCACCTCCCTGTGTCCCCTCACCTGTCCCCAAGTTCCCCTGGGGCCTCCCCGTGTCCCCTCGCTGTCCCCAGGGTCCCCTGGCACCTCCCTGTCCCCACCCTGCCTATCCCTTAGGATCTCTGGGTCTCTCTGTCCCCTGACTCCCCACGACCCCAAGGGTGTCCCCCATCCCTCTGCGTGTCCCCTGCTGTCCCTCTGCCACCCATGATGTCCTCGGTGTCCCACACGTCCCCTGGGGTCACCGTGTCCCCCCCTGGGAGTCCCCAGCGTGTCCTTCACGCCCCTGTTGATGCCCCATCCCCATTGATGTCCCCGTGTCCCCAATCCCCCAACTGACCCCACTGATGTCCCCATTGATGCCCCCATGGCCGCAACCCCTCCAATCAACCCCAGGGATGTCCCAAATGTCCCCCAGCCCCAATTCCTCCCCAGTCCCCCCTCCCTCTTGACATCCCTGTGTCCCCATTCTCCCCCCATCCTCGTGTCCCTGCTGGTGTCCCCCTGTCCCTGCTGGTGTCCCCCTGTCCCCGCTGGTGTCCTCGTGTCCCCTCTGACATCCCGGTGTCCCCACAGCGGGCGCGGGGCCGGAGGCGCGGGGGGAGCTGGTGACGCGGCTGCAGCGCAAGGACGGGCTGGGCTGGACGTGGGTCTACGCCCGCCTGCGCCCCGAGGGCCCGGCCCTGCTCGCCCACAACTTCGTCATCAGGTCAGTGCTGGACCCCTGGTGCCTGAGGGGGGGGTCACAGCCCCCCTTGGGGCGGACCCCACTGTCCGGGTGGCCCCAGACCCCCCCGTGACCCCCCGTCTGTCCCCACAGCGAGGCCGAGGCCTGGTGTCTGCGGCAGCAACTGGCGGCCGAGGCCCCCCCGGGACCCCCCGAGCCCTTCGGCCCCGGACTCGACTTCCCCGGTGCCGACCTCGGAGCGGGCGGGGACCTCGGAACCGGGCCCGGTGTCGGATCCGGCGTCGACCTGAGCGTCGGATCCGGGCTCGGAGATGACGTCGGAGCGAACGTCGGCGTCGGCGTCAGCCTTGGCCTCGGGGTCAGCGTCGGGTGTGGCCTCGGAGCCGACGTCGGACACGGCCTCGGAGCTGCTCTCGGGGCTGACGTGGACCCCGGGCTTGGAGCTGGTGTTGGGCCCGGTCTTGGAGCCAACATGGGACCCGGGCTCGGAGCCGCCATCGGGCACGGCCTCGGAGGCAACGCCGGGGCCAACGTTGACCCTGGGCTCGGGGCCGGTGTCGGACCGACCGTTGGACACGGTCTTGGAGACGCCGTCGGACACAGTCTCAGCTCTGACGTCAGCCTTGGTGTGGGAACCGGCATCAGAGTGGACGTCGGCCTCGGGGTCGCCACCAGCACCGATGTTGGTCCCACCCTCGGGGCCGATATTGGAGCCGCCCTCGGAGCCGGTGCTGGAGATGACGTCGGAACCGCGCTCCAAGCCACCAGCGCGGCAGAGGTCGGGCCCGGCATTGGAGCCGGCGTCGCGCTCAGCGTCGGGGCCAACATCGGGCCCGGCCTCGGGGGCGGCGTCAGAGCCAGCGTCGGGCTCGGCATTGGGGCCGTCGGCCCCACTCTGCCCTCTGATGTCAGCGCCGGCGTCGGACTCACCGTCGGTGCCGGCGCCGGGGCCGGAGTCGGCGCCGGGGTTGGACTCGGCCTTGGAGCTGCTCTTGGAGCCAACGTTGCCTCCACTCTTCCATCTGGTGTTGGGCCTGGCGTTGGACTTGCCGTCGGAGCTGCCGTTGGAGCCAATGTTGGCTCTGGTCTTGGATCTGGTGTTGGACTTGCCGTCGGAGCCGGTGTTGGATCCAGTCTTGGATCTGGTGTTGGACTTGCTGTCGGAGCTGGCGTTGGTTCCAATCTTGGATCCAGTGTTGGACTTGCTGTTGGAGCCGGTGTTGGCTCCGGTCTTGGATCTGGTGTTGGACTTGCCGTTGGAGCCGGTGTTGGCTCCGGTCTTGGATCCGGAGTTGGACTTGCCGTCGGAGCCATTGGTGCTGCTCTTGGATCCGATCTGGACATTGGACTTGGCGTCGGAGCCACCGTTGGTGCTACAATCACGTCTGATGTCGGCCCCGCCATCGGGCTCGGCCTCGGAGCCAACGTGGGTTCCGCCATCGGCTCCGCCCCCACATCGGACGTCGGTGCCGGCGTCGGACTCTCCGCTGGAGCCGCCGGCGGCTCCGGGCTCGGATCTACCCTTGGATTTGCCGTCGGAGCCGCGCTCGGAGCCAACGTTTGCCCCGGGCTCGGGCCCGACGTTGGTGCCGGCGTCGACTCCGCTCTTGGCGACGCCGGCATCGGACTCGGAGCCAATGTTGGATCCGCCGTCGGACTCGGCATCGGAGCCAACGTCGGGTCCGGCGTCGGATCCACCCTCGGACTCGGTGCCGGAGCCGCCGTCGGAGCCTCCTCCGCCCTCGGTTCCGCCCTCGCCCTCGGCACCGGCGTCGACCCGACCCTCGGACCCGGCCTCGGCCTCGGCGCCGACGTCGGCACCGCCCTGGGCACCGGCCTCGCCCTCGGCGCCAACCTGGGCCCCGGCGTCCGCCTGGCGCCGGGCCTGGGGGTCCCCGAGACCCCCGGGGGGGCCGCCGAGACCTGGACCCCCCCTTACAC